TAGTAAACTTTATTAGCTGTTCATTTCATAAGTATTCTAATCAACTAAATGATTGCAGTCTATTGTAGACAAAGACGTGTTTCTCATCAGCAGAATGTACGCTGTTCTATCAAACTGCACAATAAATCCAATCTTCATTGCTGAGAAATTAGTCAAAAGATGTTAGGTTCGTGACTCGTTTGAATAAATTGGCCTTATATCACAGTTTCTCCTTACTTCCTTTTTAACATTTTGGTTATCAATTGACCGGGTAATGTACAGTTTGATGAATAAATCAACCCTCCTTAAACGTAATTAAACGCTTGTGAATTTCAGCAAGTCGAGAATAAAGTTTGATGAGGTTGTCTATACATTCTGTAAACCTCATGATGTGAAACGAAAGATTCTACAAGATTATTTGTTAGCTACTTAAATGAAATATTTGAAAGACCAACTGATGACTGCTACCCATGCAAGTAATAATTTCATGTTTCTTGTTACCTGTCATCTCAGTAGTGACCACTTCATTCTTACGAAAAATTATAAATTAACATTATGTAATTATTCTTATTATCAATGCAGCCACGACAGCATTTTCCAGTTTTGTATAATGGTCAGGGTAGTGTACGGCAAACAAGCGCAAAATGCACTTATAGGATGGGAATCTCATGGACCAAGGATCATCAAAGCCTCGTTCAAAACAAAGAAAGAGGGCATTTCAATGAACATCATCCAATGCTATGCGCCTACCAACGACTACAATGAAGAAGTTAAAGATCAATTATACAATAGGCTGCAGTCAATCGTCGAGAAGTGCCCAACAAAGGACCTGACCATTCTGATGGGAGATTTCAACGCCAAGGTTGGAACGGACAACACTGGATATGGAGACATCATGGGACGACAAGGAATGGGAGAAAGAAACGAAAATGGTGAGAGATTTGCAAATTTATGTGCCTTCAATAAGCTGGTCATAGGCGGCACCATATTCCCACATAAACGCATACACAAAACCACATGGACTTCACCGGATCAATCTACACAAAACCAAATCGACCATATTTGCATCAACAAAACGTTCAGGAGGACTATAGAGGACGTGAGAACCAAGAGAGGAGCTGATACAGCATCAGATCATCACTTGCTGGTCTCCAAGATGAAATTGAAACTCAAGAAGCACTGGGCAATGGGGCGGACAATATCACAAAAGTTCAATACGGCCTTTCTTCAGGATACTAACAAACTCAACAAATTCAAGATAGTCCTCAGCAATAAGTTCCAGGCCTTTCATGATCTACTCAATGGAGAAGGAACTACTGTGGAGAGTAACTGGAAGGGGATCAAAGAGGCAATCACTTCAACATGTCATAATGTCCTGGGTCACAAGAAGCACCATCACAAGGAATGGATCACTGTTGATACACTGGATAAGATTCAAGAAAGAAGAAACAAGAAGGCAGCGATCAATACCAGCCGAACAAGAGCAGAAAAAGCCAAGGCACAAGCTGAATACACAGAAGTAAACAAACAAGTGAAGAGGAGAATCAGAAGCGATAAACGCAAATATGTGGAAGATCTAGCGATGACGGCGGTAAAGGCTGCAAGAGGAGGAAACATGAGACAATTGTATGACACGACAAAGAAACTCTCTGGAAATCGCCGCAAACCAGAACGACCAGTGAAAAGCAAGGAAGGCGAGGTAGTCACCAACATTGAAAAGCAACAAAACAGGTGGGTAGAACACTTCAAAGAACTCTTGAATCGACCAGCCCCACTGAACCCACCCAACATCGAAGCAGCACCCACGGACCTCCCAATCAATGTTGGCCCACCAACAATTGAAGAAATCAGCATGACCATCAGACAAATCAAGAGTGGCAAAGCAGCAGGACCGGACAACATTCCAGCAGAGGCACTAGAAGCAGACGTAGCGGCAACTGCAAGGATACTCCACATTCTCGTCAATAAGATTTAGGATGAGGAACAAGTACCAAAAGACTAGAAAGAAGGACTTCTGATCAAAATGCCGTAGAAAGGCGATCTCAGCAAGTGTGGTAACTACAGGGGCATCACTCTTCTCTCAATACCGGGAAAAGTCTTCAACAGGGTATTGTTAAACAGGATGAAGGACTGCGTATATGCCCAACTTCGTGACCAACAGGCAGGATTCCGTAAGGATAGATCCTGTACAGACCAAATCGCAACTCTACGGATCATTGTGGAACAATCAATTGAATGGAATTCATCACTCTACATCAACTTCATTGACTACGAAAAGGCATTTGACGGCGTGGACAGAACAACACTATGGAAACTTCTTCGACACTACGGCGTGCCTCAGAAGATAGTCAATATCATACAGAACTCATATGATGGATTACACTGCAAAATTGTGCATGGAGGACAGTTGACGAAGTCGTTCGAAGTGAAGACCGGTGTCAGGCAAGGTTGCTTACTCTCAACCTTCCTCTTTCTCCTGGTGATCGACTGGATCATGAAGACGTCAACGTCTGAAGGGAAACACGGGATACAATGGACATCTAGGATGCAGTTGGATGATCTAGACTTCGCAGACGATCTGGCCCTTCTATCCTAAACGCTACAACAGATGCAGGAGAAGACAAACAGTGTGGCAGCAGCCTCAGCAGCAATAGGTCTCAATATACACAAAGGGAAAAGCGAAATTCTCCGATACAACACAGAATGCACCAATCCAATCACAATTGACGGAGAAGATTTGGAAGATGTAAAAACCTTTACGTATTTGGGCAGCATCATTGATGAACACGGTGGATCTGATGCAGATGTGAAGGCGCGGATCGGCAAAGCAAGAGCAGCATATTTACAACTGAAGAACATCTGGAGCTCAAAGCAACTGTCAACCAACACCAAGGTCAGGATTTTCAATACAAATGTCAAGATAGTTCTACTGTATGGGGCAGAAACCTGAAGAACTACAAAAGCCATCATCCAGAAAATACAGGTGTTCATTAACAGTTGTCTACGCAAAATACTTCGGATCCGTTGGCCGGACACTATTAGCAATAACCAACTGTGGGAGAGAACAAACCAGATCCCAGCGGAGGAAGAAATCAGGAAGAAGCGCTGGAAGTGGATAGGACACAAATTGAGGAAAGCACCCAACTGCGTCACAGGACAAGCCCTCACATGGAATCCTGAAGGTCAAAGGAAAAGAGGAAGACCAAAGAACACATTACGCCGAGTATTGGAGATAGACATGAGAAAAATGAACAAGAATTGGATGGAACTAGAAAAGAAGGCCCAGGACAGAGTGGGTTGGAGAATGCTGGTCGGCGGTCTATGCTCCATTGGGAGTAACAAGCGTAAGTAAGTAAGTAAGTAAGTAGTGTACGGCATGGTTTTGTGCTATGAAAGAAAGTTGTACAGGACAGATCTATGCTACACTTTTACAACTCCCTGTTTAAAGAACTGCATTTGGTGCAACACAGTGGCATGAGACGCCACCAGGCATGGCTCAGAGTAGAAGCTGGTGGCAATCCCACTGAAACTTTCCTCCGCTTTCTTCATAAAAAAGACCTTAAACTTTTTAACTGAAAGTAATATTTCTGAATTTCTTCTCTTATTAGAATTATTATTTCACTCTCAGAGACTAATTTGTCTTCGTTTTCACTCTCTTTTTCGCTACTCAATCTCTGTTCTCGATCTCTTCAAAACCTCAGTGTTACTGTGTGATGCATATGTGATTGGTGCCTCCTTGTACGAATATTTACGCGTTCAAATGAATAAATACATAATAAAATGACCCTTTGAAATCTTAACTTTATTATAACGTCTGACTTTCAAAAAAGACAATCAACTGTTGTGTCACACTTATTCTTATCTCATCCACAACCAAAAACGGTCAATGAATAATTCCGTACTAACACAAGTCTATGATATATGAACTATGCGAAATCAATTGTCAACTAAGAACAGCAAATTTGTGTAGGGCGGTAATTTTTTAAACCGAGATCATACGTTTTGTGAACTAGATATTACTTGACTTTGACTGAATATTGAGATTTAACAATTCAAATCTGAATTGTCAACTAGTAACTGCGATCGGTTATAAACTGATGAAATTTCTGAATGTGCTAAACGATTACTGTTTCGTATTCACTTTATTTATATTTCATCTGAACGATAAATGTAGGTTGAATAGCGCTTCAGCACTCAGATACCTCGAAAAAATGGTGATTTTTGAATACCTAAATCACGAAAAAGTCTAGTATAAGAAATCCGAGGATTACGTGAATAAGATGACGAAAGTAAATTTTAGAAGCCCCATCCAAATACCACTTTGACGATTGAAAAGGAAATTTTTCGGGTCTGAAAAAGACATTTTCGGTCGATTCGTTTTAAAAAAATACTATTTAAATAAACAAAACTACCTGAATTAGTAAAAAATAAGCATAATCTGTTTAAAGATGTATGATTACATCCATAAATGATTTGTTCAACACATAGTTTATTTTCTTATATCACATTAGTAGTGTTTCTAGAATCCCTTCACACAGAAAGTAACCAGTGCAGCAGTAAAGACGTTTTGAAACTAATATGCAGTTCACATGTTAGAAATAAAACCATGTTTTCACTCGGCATCAAGTTTTATGCACATGGTAGACTGACCTCATTAGCATGAATTTGATGTTACTTAGGTTGCGAAACGCGAACATTTCGTAATTCTTTTATGATGATTTTAACAACTAAATAGGAGACGAGCAGTCAGTGAAAGGTGGGATTCATGTTAATCTACTGATTATTATGTGCGATAGAAACTCATCGAATTCTTTAACTACAATGGTATCGTAGATTCTTTGTTTATTTGTTGATTACGTTTTACAGAAGTTCCTTTTTTTCTCATCAAAGTCTAACCTTAGCGATGAAGCCAGGACAACCTTTAATTTATAGAATTCCGTAATTGAAAATATGTTCTGAGATCTCTTTTAAAAAGTAATACTCTAAAAACAAAATCCTGAACTTGACTAACAAGAATTATTTCTTAAATGAACGGATAGGCTTTTAGGTGTAATTTTTTATACAGGAATATGTCTACTTAATTTATGCATTTGGTGGTATAATTATAAACCAAAAAATATTATCGCTGTGAAGTTAACTTTAAACTAGTATTGATTTGTGAGTTGCAGATCCTTCGGTGGTAATATCTTCTATGGACATAAATGATACATGACGTGCTTGAAGATAACGTAACATACTCATCTGATTTGAATGGGAATGCACAAAATGCATGCGAAACTCTAGATTTTGATCGTGAACCAACTAACTTACGATTGTCACCTCACGTCGTGTGGAAGCATAGACCGCCCACCAGCGTTCTTCATCCAACTCTATCCTAGGCGATTCCGTCCAGCTGTTTCCAGTTGCCATTCACACTTTTGCTTTCTGCTTGTAATTCCCGACTCCAAGTGTGGCTCAGTCTTTATTTTTTTCGTTTACATTAAGGATTTTAAGTCAAGGCTTGCTTAAATATGTGGTCTGATGATTTACAAAATGTGTCTCCTATCCATTCCCAACGTCTTTTATTAATTTACTCTTCATTTGGAAGCAGATTTGTTGCTGATGTTTTCCATTCAACGGACGTTGAGTATCATATATAAACAATTGCATATAAACACCTTTACTTTTTATTAATTGTTGCATTAGTTCTTTAAGTTTCAGCTCCGTATGGTAGAATTGTTTTAAAATGTTTTGTGAAGATTATGAATTTGATGTTGGCTTACAGATATCTATTTTAATTTCCATATGTTCTTCAACTGTAGGAATGTGGTGCGTGTGGGATAGATTAGCGAGGTCATCTTTAAAGTCCAGATCATCATACTGAATCGAATTTTTTCATCTTGCTTCCCCTCTCATGTAGAGGTCTTCGTAATCCAGTCAACCTCCAAAAGAAAAAGGAAAGGAAAAGAGTAATCAGCCTTGTCAGACAACATTCGTCACTCGAAATGGATCTATGAGTCGTCCACCGTGAACCACTTTGGAGTGTAGTCCATCACATACATTTCCAATGAGGTTGACGGTTTTCTTCGGCGAACTGCAGTGTCTAAATAAGTTCCACAAGGTTATCTATTAGTTGCTACTGAAAGCCTTTTCATAATCACGCACATTGGTGCATAGTGACGCCTTCCATTCAGTTGATTGTGCAACGATGGTTCACAGTGTCAAGATTTGGTCTGAGAACAATTGAGTCTTGTGGAATCCAGCAACCACACCAGAATTGTACCATTACTAGAATTTCTAGACATACAGCATCATTGTGGTTGCAGTTCAACAGCGTCCAGTTAAGCTGTCAACCATATGTAGAAAAATTCGAATACCTTACTTCTACCTGACGTTTGTGTTGTTGATGTTGTCCAGATGAACAATAAAAACTTCACAATAGAGCCGTTCTAGTCAGAGAACCAATCCCTACTAACAGCATCCACATGAGATAAACATCATCTCAATCATCTAAAAATATGGGCATACTTATAGGTCTGTTGACTATCATTGAAATTTGGAAGCCTTTGAAAACACACTACTTAAGATAGAAAGTAAGTATTCATATATTTAGAGTTAACGACATAGCCAGTCAATTTCCTAGAAGTCCATGTAATGATTTCAGATAGTTTGAAATATTCTCATCCTCTTTCTGGCCTCTGGAAAACTTGTCGAATGGTTCTTCAGGTGTACCGACTTTCCGCGTTTCTACACCATCAGGAATAATAAATATTAGAAGTGACTTCATTCCATTTCATTTGTGATCAGTCTTGCACTAGATCAATTTAGCTTCTCAGCCTGTCGAGTGGAGTCTGATTCTCAACATATGGTTCAAACTACATAGATTGTGTCATGGAGAAACATCTATGGATTTATCATCGATCCTCTGCATTTGTACTGTCAATTGATAATTGCCAATATATATCCGGATTATTGCTGCAGCGTTTTCGGCAAACGGGTAGGAGATAAATGAAAAACTGCTCAAGAAACTGACGCGATTCGATATAAGACAACGAACTTCAACATCATTGACTATGTGTTAGAAACTTCATTGGATGGTTTAGTTTAATTTGAGATTAGAAAGAAAGCTATTCGATTCAATTGTGAAATGGTTATTCATTCTTGTTTTTGAAATTTACCAGATGTTTTTAACACAGCTCAACATTTAACTGCAGTCCTTCCATCACTAGACTTGACCAGATATTACTATTGGAATATCGTTGTACGTTAATCGGTTGTCTGTGAATCAATTTCACTAGCAGTATTACAAATTTCCATTTTATCCGACCTAATTTATCGGAATTATTTTTCATATACTTTTAAAGAACCATATTTCGTTGATTAACAAAGACAATTTTGTTCATACTCGAGGTTTTTTACTTCACATTATGAATATCAAACATTTAGAATCGAATCCCACAACAAAATTGTTCTACGATCAGTGCTATATAAATAAATATAAATATCCAACTAAAGTTATTACGAGTTACTACAAGCAAATATTTAAAGTACTAGTGTGGATATGGAATAAAATATAAATGTCCCAAGGCTTAGTAGAATAAAAAGTATCAATGACAACAACAACGGAAGTTAAAAGAATCATCTCGTATAGCTCATGAGTGGTTAATTGGTTGGTCTTCATCATCTATGATAAATAGGTAACTACTGGGATATTTTCATTCAACCACTGAACAATAATGTCAGAATAGTTTTCAGTCCATTTCAATTTTTCTCTGGATATCTGAATTAAATAATCGATCGTCTTTCGAAGTTCAGGGTCTATCTGATGATTTGCTTCTGTTACATGGATCTACAAAGATAAAGAAGTCATTTTATGTACATTATATGTGGAGCCAGTGCATAAACTTGGTAGTTCAATTTTGAAGTGAAAAATAGTGAAAATCGATCAGTTATGTAGCATAATAATAAGCGTTTGATTTATTAAAAACATTTTGTCAGTTATTGTGGAAATTCCGTGTAGATTCTGCACATATTCCTTTATACGTTAGAATTGCTAAAGAGGATTTGCAGATTAAAATTTCAATTGTACTTTGTAAGGGACGTTTCAGGTGAAGAACGCAATTGAAAAAAATATGATTTGTTTCCGGAGAATATTTGTAGCCATATATCATGACTGAGTTTGTTTAAATACAGTGTGTATGAAAAATGAGAGGTTGTATAATTGTCGAGTTAGTTCTCTTAAATTACGAAACGTACACTTGATGATCGCAAGATTCATTATCAGGACTTAGTGTGGAAATGGAACAAGAAACGCGTACTGTGCAATTAAATCGTATCATTCTCACTCTACAATTTACATATAAGTATTACCACTAACTCCTATCAGAATAGTAAGATGATTCTTGTTATCTGGCTCCTGATACTGATCGCATTTTTGACAACATACTATAGTGTAGTAACTGGTATGAGTAGTTTCACACCGTGATGATTTTCACTTGACGTTAGAGTTCAAATCATTTAGCGATAATATCTCGGGCCGCAGATTGCAGAAATACATATTTGACGAATCCTATCTAGAACGAAAGTTAGATTTACGGCACCCTACAAACCACATTCAACCACTCCATGTTATTGTTTTCTTTTTATTCAGTTTAGTTTCATTGAAAATGTGTGTGCTACCAAACATTAACAAAATTGTCTAGATGATCACATTCGAAAAAGTAAATTACAGAATGATAGTATATGTGAATGTGGGACAAAACAAAGCGACATGTGTAAGCTCATGGAAAATAGATAGGCTCTCCACTAACCTTTTCATGATTTGTTCCACTAAACACTGAGTAAGGATACTCAGTTAGTGTTTTTGTTAATAATTTCGTAAAGTCCCTGTGAAGTAAAATTAAAAAGCGAAATGCTTTTGGTTAGTTTCCATTAATGACTGAGTACGAGGTTGCGTTAACTGGACAATCAAAATATTTCTATTCTGAAATAAACGAATGACCTAAGCAAATCATCATGATGAGATAAGTAGTAATTATGAGGTAATTGATTCAGAAATACAAAACTGATAGAATCACATTATATATATATATATATATATATATATATATATATATATATATATATATATATATATATATATATATATATATATATATATATATTTCAAGCAGATGCTGACTATACGAACTAAGTGAACGTCAGTTGACTAACAGCAATAATTACAGCCGACAAAGGTGCCTGTCAATTGTTCAATTCCCACAGGTGTTTTAATGCTGATATACAATTTGTAGAACAGCTTTATGTGTTACCGATGACATCGAACATTATGCTTGTTCAAAAGGACACGTCAGCATATTTCTGTCAGAACGACTACTTACATCAAAACAGTAGATACGAGTAAAAAAAAAGAAGATGAAATGTGTTATTTAATGTAGTTTACTGGTCCTTGTACTAACTTTCTATTGTTATGTTAATCAAATTAAAATAACATTTGTTGAAACATTTCTATGAAAGAAATTACTATGTTCATCAAAAAAGGTTGAGATCTCCGATAGAATTTTCCATATGTGGAAGCATGAGTGAAAAAGGTCTTCAAAATCACCTTGATTACAGACTGACATTCCAAGATGTTGGTATTCAGTTTATCGCCTACATATAACGTATACTATACGAATTCACGTCTGAAGTTAACAGGCACCATCTACCTCATGACATTAATATGACATCGGTTCCTCACTGTCAATAGAAATGTAAACTCACTTATGTTCAACAAGATTTTGTACATCACTCAGGTGATCCCATAAAAGTTGGTTACCAACTGGAGACTCTGAGAAATAGTCAAGCGTAAACCAGAAGTTCTTGTTCTCTCTTACCCGCCTTAAGTACCTGATGAAAAGATGGAGGAAATGTTTAGCTGAGTAGGTGTGGTGTGCTAACTTAATCATATGAACATTTACATCTGTAGAATAAAAGGATTTGAGGGCCAAAATATATTATTGTAGTGAACAAGAACCACAGTGAGGACAATCGAATACATTCAACACAGAATTACAGGACTTGTTAATAAAATCTAGCAATCATAAGGTAAATGCCAGAACACTCAACTCGACGCCATTTCTCCGCACCGGACTGCCCAAACTAGCGATTCAGCTCACGAACCGCATCGGACTTCGCAGAACAGCACCCTTCCCCTCCTGGCTGGCGGCGACACCAAATGTAGTGAACAAGAACACCAGTGAGGACAATCGAATATATTAAACACAAAATTACAGGACTTGTTAATAAAATCTAGCAATCATAAAGTAAATGCTTAATTTGCAATTGTCTCAAAATGACTCATAATTCATTGTTCTTGCATTTTCATGCAAATTGCACCCTGTTTCTATTCTTTACTGTTTGATCCTCTTGTCTCTCTGCTGCCAGAAATTCTGCTCACGACTAACATCATGTACTACTTATGTCAATATAAGTAGCACACACAACAGTATGACTGATGAGATTTGCAGCTAAAATGCTTGATCTTGTCGACGATTCCTCCTCTTTTACATTGTGAATTGTATCCCGTCGGAGATGTTGTTGATTTATTTGTATGTATTTTAAGCTCGATCTTTTCGACGATGACGAATGTGTCGTGTACATGACGAATCTACATTATCGATGGTTTTTCTTGTAGATATGAAGCCTTCGGTCATCGCGTCATCACTTTGTAATGAGTCTTGAAATCGGTAGTCCCATTGATGACAGTTTCGTTTGCCAATGGACGTTTTTGTTGAACTGAGAAAAATTTGTTCAGTATTAATCGATGGGTTCTACTCGACTTTTGACATTCGTGTACTCTGAGATTTTGTGAGTGCCATATCTTGATAATAATCACGAGGTAATTGATGATCCATATGTGAAAACTCCACTGATCCTTGTAAATCCGCATGGAGTAAAAGTCAAGATAATTATGATATAAAAGCGAATTAACTGAAGTTGACAATCCAAACCACCAGGGTTTTAATTGGCGGTTCAAATTTGTCGTGTTTAATCGATGGTACTTTATAAATTCCTTTGAAAAATGTGAGTGATGTAGTTTTATGTAGTTTCAACCATAAATTAAAAACATGTCATGTGTCCTTCTTACATTTGAGGGTGAGTTTATGTAAGCTCATGTTATGAACTTTAATTAGGCTTGATTGGCTTGGTTGTTCAATCGTCATTCGAGGAGTAAAAACATATATCTTTCCAATTGTTCAATTATAGTCATTGTTACATATAATTTTAGAAATTATCATGCACATTTTGTGAAATCTTCGATTATAACAAACGGATTTAGATTATGCGAACATACTCATTTGCTGATAGTAGTGGGGATTCCAAACATCTAGTCGGGTTACTGTTATCATAAACAGATGTGACAGTGTAATATTGAAGGTAACAGTTTAACTTACTCTTTCATAATTTCTGTATCACGAGAACACGTTAATGCCAACATCTTGTTTTCAGTCTCTTCTTCATTTACAGAATCGTTCAACGTCAGCTGACTTTCTAAAAATTTCCATTCTTGTTGACCACCATGACGAATAGCTGTACAATAAGTAATGAATCTCAAATCAGGTCGTATGCTGTAAAACAAAAGAAATGTGGACAAGAACATTACTTTCATTCGATTGAAATGAAATTTAAGGCAATCAGTCCTTTTTATAAATTTCGATAGAACAATGAGAAAACATTTCGAACAACCTGGTCACACATATACTTGTAAGGGCATTTTTATATGAAAATTAATAAAGGTCAAACAAATAAAAGTACAATTAAAATAACTAAGGGGAGAGAAAGAATAAGAAATTGTCGCGTTATCCCAGGCCACAGAATGACTTAAGGATTACCAAGGTAAATTCGAGGTTACGACAAATTGTTTTTGTACACATAAGGGGGGTTTAAATTTACAAATAGCCAAGGCTTCGATAAACTTAAGAATTCGACCTTGACAATTTCTATACAACTTTCTAAATGCTGTATTAATGTTAATTTTGTGCCCCGTCTCAATTATATGTTTTGCTATCGATGAGCTTGGTTTTCTACCTCCTACAATGATCAGATCATTTGACATACATTGATTTTGACGCCATCTAGGCACATGTTCATTGACCCTTGATTGCATTGTTCGATTACTCCTCCCTATGTATGTGTGTCCACACAAACATGTAAATTGGTAAATACAATGGGATGTGACGTAATCATTAGTGCGTTGTTTGGATCTATTAGGAATCATGACCTTAGACTTTTCAATCACTACCAACTGAGCAGCAAAATACGTATTCTCGATGGCTGCTTTCAATCTCTGCCTTAAGACTATACTGTTAGATTCGCCTCTATAACTTAGATTGACATAAACGTTTTTCTTTGGCACTGAATAAATTAGAGGTCTTGGCATTAACTGACTTTTGCACCTATTAACAAACTTGAGTGGATAACCATTTGCTATTAATGTGTCAGTCGGTAACTTTTCATCTTTTTCCACCATGTCAGAGGTACATATTCTTCGAGTCCTCTTAATGAGGCAATACAAGAGAGGTCTGGTTAAGTGCCTCTTTCTATGGCCTATGATAACGCGACAATTTCTTATTCTTTCTCTCCCCTTAGTTATTTTAATTGTACTTTTATTTGTTTGACCTTTATTAATTTTCATATAAAAATGCCCTTACAAGTATATGTGTGACCAGACTGTTCGAAATGTATAGCGCTAATACATCATATTTTTCAGACCAACTCCGTTTTCTCATTGTGTTATTGAAATGAAACTATTTCTAGAGATTTATGACTATATGCGTGTAAGGGATGCGAATGTCAAGTATTGTTTACATTTATTTGAAAAAGAAGACGCAATGAAATTTCACGCATGGAAGACAGACAACAGATCAATGGCAAGCAAAGATCGGAATCAAACGAGGCTGCTTATCCGCGTCAATTGATTTGTGACAACAACAATATCTCAGGTGAAGCGGGGAATACATCTAACAGCTTCGACTCACTTAGATATTTCGAATCTGGTAGATGATTCAGCTCTCCTAGATCACACACCAACAACTTCGGGTGAAGACAATCAGTGTAGCAGCAGCCACTTAAACATCAGACCTTAACATTCACAAAGGAAAAAGCAAGATCTTAAACTGAAACCAACCAAATCAAACTTGACAGAGTAGTTTCGGGAGGGGTTGAAACGACCGCTTATCTGAGAAGTATAACCGAGTAGACAGGAGGGTGTAGCGCAGATGCAGAGGAAAGGATCAGGAAAATAACAGCACTACTATTACATCTGAAAACATATAAGTATCAAAATAACTGTCAGCCAACATCAAATTCAGGATCGTCAATACAGACATTGAAGCCGTTGTAGTGTACTGGGCTGAAAATTGCAGAACTGTCATAACCATCATCAAAAAATACATGTTTTCATAAACACTTGTCTGCACAAGACACTCAGTATCAGTTGACCGGATGCCATCAACAGCGACACACCATAGAAGAGAACAAACCAACTTCCATATGAATATGAAGACAGGACAAGACGTTGGATGTGAGTACAACAAGCGTTGTCTATACCATCAGACTGAATCTCGAGATAATCACTCCGAATCCAAATGGCAAGGTGCACAGCGGAAGACCAAAGAACATGTTGCGTCGAGAAATCGAGGCATATTTCGAAGGAATGAGAAGCGATCAGCAATGATTGGAAAGGAAGATAAGATCGAACAGTTTGGAGAATCCTATTTGTCAGCCTACACTTTCGTGAGGGGTAACGGATGGAAGTGTATAAGTAATTTATAAAACAATTCCTCATCGGTGTCTCATAACTGGTCAAAAATCTTTCATTCTCCAAATCAGTTATATATATATATATATATATATATATATATATATATATATATTTGTTTTCATGGGAATCAGAAGTCGTGAATATATTTTCATGATAAGTTTATCTTATGCACATGGCGCCAATAACAATACTCATTTTAACATATCGAACGCAAATTAAAATCTGTTGTTCAGAATAGTGTAGAACTACCCAATCAAAAGTTGTTTCGAAGATTTCTCATAAATGAAGGATCTTTTTTTCACACAAGAAAGTTATTGTCGACTGATCGACAAACCCAGGTAACACATCACCCGTCTACTATATACATCAATTTTACAGCTATCCCACTACGCTTACTGACTTATTAGTTCTTTACACTTAGGAAACCATAACATTGACAAACTATTCACGCATTCGTGTCTGACCTCAGAATCAAAAACCTGATCACACAATCAATTTCAAGCTGCGTTTTAAAAATCAGTTCAAATAACATTAAACATAACATAAAGGCTTATTATACGGTAGTCTGTTTTATCATATAAAAATCATTAATTGCATAACTAACGGGTTCGTTTCGGGTTTCGACATCCATTGTCTGAAGAGATCCGTAGTTTTGTTCACACAAAGATGATGTTCAGCTGTACAAGCGAGTTTGATCACATTATAGTCAAAACGTCTAAAATGGAGCAAACGGTGTAAGAATATTTAAGTTATAACTTATTAATATATAAGCATTTACATACTTTCTTCTTTTACACTAGTAGGTTTATCATTAGTTGATGGGGAGAAAATTTCATGGATATGCCTGAAGATGTTTAGATTAGATCAGTTTGTTTTATGGATTCGAAGATTGCTGCGATTCTGTAGCTGAAACGCAATGTATTCACCTTAAATATATTTCTACATATTGCGTTATCCCGAAACCTGTTCTGTTATCTCTTCACGAAAAATCGAATGTCATTAAACTCATCAGTTGGCACAGCATTGACGAGCTGGTGATTTCTGCAGTTTTTGATGATATAAATTTTTCATCTCATTTTAACGGCAAGCTGTAACTGTTAACGATATCTTACTACTATGATATTTCCATATGTTTTACCACATATCAGGATTTTCACCAGCTTAATATATACATTAACATTATTCATTGAAATAGTCCGAAGGAAATTAAGTTTCCCTCTGTGAATGTTCCAGGGTTATTAGTTTTGAGGTAAGATAATAATTGGTGTAACTAGAAATAACTAGACATAACGGAACAAATTAATTCGTGATTTTACGTGATAACGGAGAAATTTGATAATACGATTAATCTTAAAACCAATTGACAAACGATAGCATAATTTGGTACTCAAATATAATTTATGTGGCCTTTATTTCTTAAGTTACGGGAGTTTTCACAAGACAGTTGCACCGTCTGAGTTTCCACTATAAAAAATTGAGATGAAAAAGTACAACTTTGAGCACCCGATTATAACCGTTTATAATGGATGGAATTCAAGCAATCATATTACAACGATGCCCCATTTACAGTCAATTATCGAGTTGAATCGGGCAATAAAAGTGTGTTTCTAATTAAAGGAACCCACAATTTGAAGTGCAACTTAACCAATCACTTATCATGAGATCCTTATAATCATACGCTCCCAGCTCATTATTATGGTCCAGATATTCCACCCCCTTGTAGAAGAATGTCACTCCTCTCGGAAACCGTTACTTTCATCTGTTCATCAAATATTTTTGGCTTAGATAAGCAGTCCCGTCAACAATGCTGCCAATTTCACCATTTCATATTAAACATCTTCCATATAGATTGTTTCGGAATAAAAGTTTTCCGAGATAAAACTGAGTAATTGACTGATATGACAGAGTAAAGACATACGAAATAAAAATATAACTACTCACATCCTTTGAAGATCTTCACCTGTACTAACAAATGACCGACTTGATGATTGAAATCGGTTATCGACAAGAGTTTGCAAGTAGGCTTGGAAAACATCATAATTCTCATTCAGAACAAACATGCTATTAATGTAGAGCAGCGCTCGACTAGCTGTTATCCATACAATAAACTCATCTTCGTGGTTTAAATATTTTGTCGCGTTCAGGAAAAGGGTATACGGTACGATATCACGACTGACAAGGAGGCCAAAACAAAACAAAATATTAGGCTCAAATGACTTTAATTAGTAACTTGTTCACACATGAGGGTATAGAAATTTACCGTAGAATATTACATGTAAAAATTAACTATAAATACGATTACACAGCTCCCGAAAATGATATCGTCGGAAGAAAAATTTTCTTTTGTGAAGTATCTTCATACTTTTCGAACTACTAGTTTGGGTGTGTGATTGTAGAACATGAAGAGAATTTATTGAGAAGAGTATTATTCGTTTATATGTCGGTGTAATTACTCCACGAGACATGTTATATTTTCAATCAATATTAAATGAGTAGACAACCGACAGTATTGACAGGTGTTTTCAACAATATAGCGTATGGTGTATGTTAACCCTTTGAGATTATGCTAGCCTATCGCTATATCATCGTAAGGTTTACATAAATATCTGGGAATCTGAATGTAAGAACTTGAGGTTTAACTAATATTTCAGTTTATGTAAACATCTCGTAAACACCACTTTAAATTGCTTAGTATTCACAACGTCTACGAAATATCATCATACTTTTCGGACTACTAGTTTGGGTATGTGATTGTAGAACATGAAGAGAATTTATTGAGAAGAGTATTATTCGTTTATATGTCGGTGTAATTACTCCACGTGACATGTTATATTTTCAATCAATACTAAATGAGTGTTAACAGACGTTTTCAACAATGTAGCGTATAGAGTATGTATACTCTTTGAGATGATACTAATCTATCATGTTATTATAGTAGAGTTTACATAATAGCTGGTCATAATTGATACACCAGTTCAGATAAACGTCTTTTTTAACCCCAATTCCATCTGTTTCAGTATTCATTACATTTATGTGTACACCGATTTCAGTTCAACCCACTGCATATATTTTTAATCCAGCCAACTATTCGTTTTTCCAACTAATTTGCTTCTCTTGCAAACTGTTGTGCTAGTTTGCATTTCTGAAAGGATCGGTCTCCGATCTTGGGCGGATATCACTGAGAATCTCCAGGTTCTACAAAGTGTTTCCGCTACGATCAGATGACATACGTTGTCAAATACTCATTGTTTTTACATCTTGAATATTTTTCACAAATTTTTCGTGTTTTTAATTGGTATTTGGAATCAAAGTTATTAACTAGCCTGATATTTTGTAACAGAATAAATATCATCCACAAAAAAATTGGTTTCATTCCACCTCACACTTACTTTGCAAGACTGAATAAATCATTCAATATTTGTGCGCGTGAGAAAACTGGAATAGCCTAGACATAAAGAAATCAGATAAAAATTGAAATGCCTTGTAGAACATCGACTCACAATGTAAAATGCAATCTATAAAATGAATGTGATTTCAAACAAATCATATCTTAGTGTGCGATACGAAGTGTAGAGCTAAAATAACGGATTAATATCCTTGAAGAGAATTTGATTTATTGTGATGTTAAATCGTCGTCTTTGGCAGTCACATATCGCTCACCTAAGGCACAAATCGAAGCTTTTACAAGCCGATTCGAGGACTGACATACAGCTAAACAATTATGTGGCAACCAAGCGTACATTTTTAACCTTGCTAATTATTTTGTACTTATTCATGTCACTAAACGCTCTTATTCATATAAAACTTCCATATATGTCTGATCTGCTGTGAATATGGCATGGAATTTAATACTTCCAATCAATTCGTAATTCTACCACTGAACGTCTGCGCATTTGGTATTTTCTCGAGTTACTAAGATGAAATAATTATTTTCATGTTCAGAGGGTTAAATATATATATATATATATATATATATATTCGTAATTATAATATTACAGCGTTTCTTGGAAATAATGACAAACTCATAGAATTCAAGATAGATCTCAGCAGCAATCTCCACGTCTTACAAGATCCACTCCAAGAAATTAGACAACTAAGAAGCGAAACTTCAAACAATCGTAAAACCAATACATCCAACGGGTCAGGTGCTCAGCCACTGAATTGTGATGACTTTCACATCACAGGAGAAGCACAGAACAAAAAGGATAGCTCCAATGCACCTAGATATTTTGAAATATTTTGATAGCCTAGCTCTTCCGTATCAATTTCATCAACAAATTCAAGTGAAGACAGACAGTGTATCAGCAGCCTCCACAGCTATAGGCCTCAACATTCACAAGGAAAAAATGAAAACCCACACCTGAAACATGATGAAAATGGACCGAATATCACTGGTTTAAGAAGCTCCGGAAGGTGTGGAAACATTCAGGTATCTGGGAATTATGATCGACCAACTAGAGAGATGTGACGCAGAGGCAAGGATTGGCACGGTGAAGGCACTATTCTTAGAGTTGCACACACTTGAGTTTCAAAACAACTGTCAGCGAACATCAAATTCAGAATCTTCAATACAAGCATCAAGGCAGTTCTATTGTACTAAGCTGAAAATCGGAGAACTACGGCAACCATCATCAAAAAGTACATGTGTTCATAGGCAGTCTTCCACTCAAAATTTCCGATTTATTATACCATTATTTTGAATGCACTTGCATAATTTCTCAAACGTTATTTATGAGAGGGCTAGACACTCAAGTCCACAAAGGTATAACTCCACAGCAGACTAAAGAATCTATGAGTTACAAAAAGGGAACAGTGTTCTATGCCACAAACTGACGAGCCTTTATCAGAACAACAGACAAAGAATGTGGCCGCAAGGCAGACCGAGAGATAGAAGCCTCTCATGCACAAGGAGACACTCAGCTCCTACCGCATGCTGTTTCCTTCAAACATACTATAAACTGTATATCACGAAGCAAATTTAAACGATCATACTGGTTATTGGTGGCGCCTGCGATAATTAACATAGATCCTAGAAACAATCGTTTTCGTCTAGGACAGAGAGGTCGTCGTTCAGTTCGTAGCAGATACGGTAGCGGAAATCAGAGTAGTAAGCGAAGATGAAAAAACGTTATTATGTTACTAGTGCTAAGAGCGGTGGGCATACGACGGACGAAAGTTGTCCCTAGATTTTGAACGAGGCGCTTCGTACAGCTGGGACGATTTCGTAGCAGGTGAATCAGTTCCCAAAATGGACACAGATTTTTTGTGTACCTGCGATCTGCTAGTGATCTCTCAGCCTCACAGACTTGTAAACGGTAGTCACACGACTTCGACAAGAGAAACGTGAAATCCGTTTCCATGACTCTAGTGATAGATAAAAGCCGCAGTGATCCATGTGAATTACTGTTAGAGGAGGTTATCAAACTCGTGAAAGTAACGTGAAATAAAGTGGGTCTCAAACGTTCCATCCAGCTCGGCCTGGTAGGCGTGGTCATCGTTTGGTGTTGTCATATAACTTTTCTTCATATTAAATATGATTTTCTATTTCTAGGCTAAATGTGTTCTTCATCATATATTGGTAATCGTTACCATACGATGAGTCAGTGTAGACAAGGTTGTGACTTCCACGTAAGACCTTATAGATTAGGCGGTTACATCATGAAAAATCTAAAACTTTAGGATTAGGCCCATTATTAGAGAAGTACTACTATCATAGTAGACCATAATTCTATACATCGTCATACTAGCTCCTCATTGGGTTTTTGTTCTCACCTAGACACTATATTCCAACACATACTTATCGAGATCGTTGGACCACTGACAGTTTCGAATGAATACAAACATATTTTTACATACATTGATAGATTTACACAATGGCCTGTATTGGTACCGATAAATAGAACCTCAGTTGAGTCTGTAACCAAAACCCTAGTCGAGAATTGCATTTCTTAATATGGTGTACCAGCGATTATCACAACCGATAGAGAAATCTTATTCGAAAGTCGACTCTTCCAGCAGCTTAAACACCTCAGAATTAAACGCATTCGAACGACATACTATCATCCAATGGCAAACGGAATGGTTGAATACCCGCATAGGCAGTCGAAAGTGATCTTTACATCTGTCATTGTCAACAACGATTGAGCTAATAAGCTTCCTCTAGTAATGTTGAGTCTAAGAACAACAATCAAACAGGACATATGATGTTGTTCAGCTGAGTTGATATATTGAACTACTCTAAGTTTACCTGGAGAATATTTCGCTTCAGGAAAAAGTGTTCCGACAGGTGTAGTCAATCACGTGCAACGTCTGAAGAAGCACATGAACGAGCTAAAAATAACACTTCACAGACTACAACAAAGACGAGTGTTCATACCGCAGCGACTGCATAATAGTACTCATGAATTAATTAGAAGAGATAATTTACATCCACCTCTGCAACCGAATTACGACGGTCCATTCAAATTGATTACGAGGACAGACGGGACAGTTACCATAGAAAAAGCTGGCAAGACAGAGGGAATCATCATCGATCGAGTGTAACCAGCTTTCATAGATAGTGATTTTCAATCACCAAATGCAAAACCTTCGAAGAAGGTCACGCCAACGAGAAACGAGAATCAACGACGCTAATGCAGTAATAAGAGAAGCGTCCGGTGACCACAAGTTATGGTCGAAGAGTGCGTTGTTCACAAAGGTATATAGCTACGATTTCGAATAAATAGTTTCTTTCACCTCTTCAGATGTGAATTTTGTCCATTCCTCTTTGTTTTGTATGCACACATAAAAAAGTTTGACTTATCAATTCTTTTGTTCTACATATTATTTTACATTCGGATGTCAATGTAAATGAACGTCTATAAGCACCACTGTATTATCCTGATCTTTCATTATCACTTTATCTGGTCTCAAGGACGTATACGATGTCAAGCTCACACGTATTTGCAATATCCTACAGGATAGTTCTATCATACATCTTACTTTCGCAAGTTTGGATATTCATCATCCAGTTAAATTTAGTATTTTGTCCTTCACAAATACAGGCGCTCTTGGCATATTTAGTTGGAGCTATTATAGTAGCTCGCGTGCGATTGAGTTTGTCCACATTTAATTTGGTTGGCCCATTTACCGAGCAGAGTCATTCGTACAATAACAGCCTATCTATTTCATTGTACCATTGTACCCATATATTTATTCTGCCAGCCTAACTATTAGTCGTTTCATTGAATCAAGATTTATTCATTTCTGTATGTGTATATAGAAACATTTCTTCTCAAAAAACATTTCAAACCTATTAATTTTGACTGGAACGTCCACTTGCTCACTTGCTTTTCGGTATTAACCTTAAATTCTTGTTTCGCGTATCTGTAGTTTTGATAATATGTGCGTCGTGCAAAGAAAAACACAATCAGGAATTCCTACTCGTCTTCCAATTTATAAACCGCATGGAACTTTATCTAGCAACCGTTATCAGGCCGAACTATTTACAATGTTTAAGGATTCTATCGAATAACAGCCACTATGCATCAAAAGAATGAGAAGCTATTCACAAAAATTTGGAAAGAGGCTCGAATATAATAGTTTGTTGTTGTGAGGATGATCAGGAGACAAACATTTAGTAAGTAATTGCATAAGTATACAGGAAAGTATGTAAATAAGTAAGTAGCTAGGTAGGTGAACATGTAATTCAGAAAGTAAGCGGATAAATAAATACGTTAGTAAATATCTGTGTTAAATGACAAAACGTTATTTAACATGTAGTTTCATATGTTTAATTGGTAAACGGTCATACCGTCTGACGTAAAAGTTAGTGCGCGACATATGAATAAATTCTAAGTCAATGATTATGGTTGGATATTCACAATGAATGGAGATCCATTCCCCCTGGTTCATATTAGAATATCCTGAATTGTTTATCACTTTCTACAACATTTATCCTCATAATGATGCATATATAAAAACTTTTATGTTATTTACAAGGTTATACTTAAAGTATTTGATAGAATAGTTATTTATAACAGGGAGAAACACAATTGTTTTGAACAAACCGTGAAATTCCTTTGCAATTGATTGATTAATAAGATCCAGTTATTGTCAGCGTAGTGAACCCGATAGAATCCACCGTGTTTTACATTCAACAAGTACCAGTCGTCTGAGTTTATGTTCATTGTTTGATTCATTTTGTCTTAAGGAGACGAGGAATAATCAAATAACTCATTAATATTACAATATTGACAATTACATATGAATTAGAACATACAGTTAAAGCTGAATAAGGGCGTGATATTTCAGTAATAATTTTCCCTCATCTGTTTAGAAGTTGAGGGGTGGTAGAACGTTTTCTTTTATATGAGGCGCCAAACACGCCCAAGAACAAATTAGTGCTACACTTGTTGGATAAGACAATTGTTGCTCTTTATCGAAAAAGGCTCGTCAACTCGACCGTCTAGCTTCAGAACGTGACGCAAAGTGTGTACAGGTATGTGTAGCGTATAGCGTAGTAATTATACTAATGGAAACGGAAAATGGTATTTCTTACTGTTCACCATCCACACAATATCAACATTTGTCCAGTCCACCGTTTGTGCTGACCCATAGGTGATTGGTATTATCCAGGGGTGTCTGAAAGAAGCAAAACACATAATAATGAACATTAAAAGCTATCAAACTATAAATATAATGATCAGAAACAGGAATTTAGATTGAGTGCCATAACAAAACACTTGTTGGTAATGCTAGTTGATCGATAGAGGTCAAGTTGGATTCCAAACATAAATAAAAAAGATGGTTTGTTAACCCAATCCACTCCTGAATATCCCTTCCCTTAAGCTTGTTACCCCACTTCGTGGAGGAGCACAGACTGACTACCGGAATTCTCCATCCAACTCCGTCATGGATAATCCACTACAATTCATTCCATTTCCCTTACATCTTTTTCATGTCTACTTATGATTCTTGACTCAGTCTAATGTGTTGTCTCTCTTTTTTCCGTTTTAGTTCAGGGTTCCGAACTAGCACCTGCCTCGTGATGAAATTCGATGATTTCCACAATGTATTTTCTATCCATTTCCAACGTCTTTTTCTAATTTCCTCTTTATTTCAAAGCTGGATTTTTGTCTTTCACAGTAGACTGTTGCTGTTGGTATCTAGTTACCGAATATTCTGTATCTTGTGTAGATGGTTATTTACAAATATCTGTGGTGGAGTGCACGACCGATCTTTACAGAATCCAATTTGTTGATCTTGAAGTTGAGCTTCTACTGAAACTTTCATCAGTCTAGCAACACTATGTTCTACAATAAATCTAGTACCGGCAAGAATAAGATGCCTCTGTAGTTCTTACATTTTCTCAGACCTCCTATATTTTGTATCTTGATGTGCTATTCTTATTTTCCAGTTTGTCGGTAGCAATTGTTCTTTCTCTCTAATTTTCCTGAATAGAACGTGAAGCATATTTGCAGTTACTTTTATGTCTGATTTCGATGTTACAGCTGGTATATTTTCAGGTCCTTCTGCTGCGAAGTGAATATTGATACTTTGAGGATGATCGTATTCGGTTCGTAAAAAGGGTAGTCGCCGTTTTGTTAGTTACTTAGAATGAAATCATATATAGTGTAACAGAAGTGACCCCATGCACTCGTTTTCTATATTATGATTTCAATTTAAACCTACATATGTTTCAACAGCATACATGGTATGAGAAGGGGTTTTGTGAATATTAATTTCGTAAATCATGCCTGACATAATAGGAAACATTTCAGTTTGGCCGTTAGGCAGTGGTACACCGAATGTTAATAACTCGTGTGGATGTTGATGAATCCCGTTCAATAACGCTTTTTGCCAGACAAAGTTTAACAGATACAATAATTTGACAACTGACATGGAATAGAAATAATATTTATGTGTTTGAAATGATGGTGTAATCCAGTATTTTGAAGTTGTAAGCAAACCCGTTGTGATCGGTGATATGTCCGCATCTTCTTCCATAAAAGTGACTTGATGAATGAAGATAAGGAAGTATATTTATAACAGAAAAACAGGTTTTGGTGGAAAGTTGTACAGTAAACCGAGGTATAACTGGAACCAAACAGTTACATTGAAAAACCGAAACGTGTAGATTGACTACGTTGGGAATTGTTGTCTTTCACATTTTCAAAATCCACGTCAACAACCTTTATTTCTGTGTCACTTAATGCTTGACAAAACGAGAGGCCACTGCAATTCCCATGGCGCGAATTGAAAACACTGAGAATGACGAGGTTAAGAATTAATGATCCCAAAAATACAATAGCGATCCTGGTAGAAAATACACTCATCATAATTGATCGTACACCCATATTGATTACTGATTGGAATAAAATCACACGTATGAAAAATATCCAGAATTTCACTAATCACATAGTGCAGGTCATGCTGAGCAAAGGTCCTTTTATTTTAATACTGGTATATCGTATCTTGAATGAACACCACACTAAAATAAGTTAGTGTTATATGAAGTGAAATATCACATCGGGAAACTAAACAAATAGTGCACTAAGTAAGAGACGGAAGGTATGTTGGTTGAAAATCACAATGAGTTAAATTTCTTTCGTCATTTAAATTGAAGAACGGAAATGATGTTAGGAAACCCATTGATAATGTATTGAGAATCATAAAGTGAATAGTTAATTTGCAAAGTGTCAATCAATTATCTGGAGCTTCATTGTTGTTTCGTTCCCACACTAATCATTCTCTGTTCACCTTCTCTTCTCTTCAATCTGCTGAACATTCAGCCGCCAGGCATTTCACTTCCACTTTATGATACACACTACATATATCCTTCGACATCACTAGCACTCAACACAATAACAAACATTGCATACATTACAAGCTCACTTTTCTTCATATAAAATCTCTGAATACGGATGTTGTCTAAATTAATATATAGTTCACTTACTCACGATTTGTTTGAGATGACTTGTTACCATAGTGATGAAAGTAATGCATCTGCTCGAAACAAAACACATTCGACCCATTTCTCTTTACAATCACTAGTGGATAATTCCTCTGTTTAGTCCAAGAATCCATAATAAATCCAATGTCTAAATGATTTCCTTGAGTATTCCATTCCTGATATGCAATTAAAACGAAATTATGATTAGGTTATTAGCCTTATACATTTGAATAATAATTCTGCAGAATCGCAAAAGTTAGCATGTTTGTATAATCGAGAATTGTGGTCGATATAACTCTGTGAAATGAAATACACTGGAATTAACTCGTTTTTCAAGACCATGCACCATAAATTCATTTAATGAGAATGTAATAGGTGGATGAATAATTTAATGCAGCATGGTGAAGCGTGGTATGTGGCCATGGATGTCACAAACAGAAAAAGAATTATTAGGATTTTATCATTGTAATTACAACCTAGTTAATTTCGATGAAATGACTCAATGGAGGAAACCTGAACTACCGCTACCATAGAGTTTAGCGTTTCACAGAATAAAAACAAAGAATAAATAAGAACAGTGTTGAAGAACAGGTATTACATGAAGATATGAAACACGAAATTATTCATTAGATCATACCATAAATATCTGAATAATTTAAAATATATTTTAAGACAACACTTATCTTCGTTAACGAAAAAAATACATCACGATCAAGAGAAATCATGAAACAAATCCAACAACAAAATGTATCGCGTCAAATGCGTTTGTATTAATGTATTCACCACCAAATACTTACTTCAGATAGTGCCTTCCATAAATCCTTTTCATCTGTGTTCTTATACTGGTTTTGAATTAAATATCTCTTTAACAAATATAGAAAAACACATTATATGAGGCGTTTCAGGATTACAATTTGCAATTATTCATGAATAAAATTATAGAATTTAAACCTTCTAGCCAGACTTTATATTTTCGAGACTGCGTTTATATTCATACATATTCAACCACGTTAATGCAAGTGATGACGGAGGATGACAGATAAACTGTACTTGCTTAGGTGGGATATAGCTTCAACATAAAATCTATCACTTATAACGGTGAGTGAAGTCTGTTTAACATAATTTGTTTGCAACGACATTTACACCGACTTGATATAAAATATCTCACTAATTTAGTTATAGTGAATATGGATTATGAGTTGGTCAGACAACATTTAATTTTAAAAGCATTTTCCGATTGTTCATGACGACATACGAGTTTAAGCTTTTTATTAAGTAGAGTACCTGTTGATAAAAACGTGTTATAGCGTTTCAAGGAGTACTTGTGTTGAAGACTGTAGTGATCAATCGATACTGTGTTGTGTTATGTTACGTCGTACTGAGTTATAGCTAAGCAAATGATATGAGGACTCTCCGTATTGGATAGTCTCGAAGAGAACTTCTAAAATACTTAGTCAAACAAAAGAAATCAGTTCACTATTGAATGTGACCGTTGAGACTAGATTATATGAAACTCATTTACAACAAAATAACCACTGTCAACGTACTTTTAAACCGTTTTGAAAAGCGCTACGGCCCATGAATCGCTCCATTATCCAAACCAAGGAGGCGCCCTGTGAATTATCGAATGCAATGTAGAATATTAACATATATATGAAACACGGAATGAATGTGTAGGTAAGTTAGATTAGTCAATCAGTTTACTTGGGTCCAGCCAACGATAGTAAACAGGTGAAATTGTGAGATAAATATCAGAATAAATATGGTCAATATGGGGTAAGAGAGAGAGAGATAATATTGCGATTACAAATGGGAACTTACGTAATATGTAAAATAATTAGGTCAAATATAGTAGATTCAGGGGTGGATATTGAATAAATCCCTCAAAAAGGGGTTATCAAGTGTTAAGACAATAATAATTATAATAAAAATAATAGTAATAATAACAGTAATAATAATAATAAGTTTGGAACATAAAATGAATATTAATCAGATTACGTCACCACATTATAAGATTGGTTATTAGCTAGTTGGCCAGGGTAAAAGGTGTGGCTGAACATACTTCTTTTGGATACAAAGCTCTGGCTTTTTGATCCGAATAGCAATTGCTTCAGCCGTCTGTAGGATTTGCAGTCTGACGGAATTAGGTAGACTGCTGTTGACACGGTAGATTATTGCAAAAGATTGCTCCACCCACCCCTGAATCTACTATATTTGACCTGATTATTTTACATATTACGTAATTTCCCATTTGTAATCACAATATTATCTCTCTCTCTCTCTCTTACCCCATGTTGACCATATTTATTCTGATAATTTATCTCACAATTTTATTTCGCTTATAAACTGATTCAAGTAAACACTTCATATTAGTCATCTCAACACTAACGATTTTATTTATATAACAAACAATTCCTGATTCACATATCACAATTTTCAAATGATGTATTTTGCCCTAAATCTGGGTAAATTTTATGGATTATTAAAGTGGATTGTAGAACCTGATGAGAAATTATTGAAAAGAATATTCTTCGTTCATACAGTTGTGTCATAATGATGAATTAGAAGTCATTTCATTTACTTGGTCTAACAAATGTTATGCAATCATTCAGGTAGTGACTGTTTTCGATCTTGTAAATAAAATACTGGTTTTCGTAGTCTTAACCTAGATATAAAGTTCAAGTTTAAACATCACTGAAATTTTGTTGTGTAACTTTCTTAAAACATACATAATTCTGTTAATTGCAAATATGAGAGAATAATGAACTTCAAGATTTCGAATGCCAAGACGTCACTTACATTTAGAGATGCATCAATCATATACAGTTTTATTGATGAACTATAAAATATGTCTCAGGTTGAAATCATGAGTCAGATGAAGCTAGATCACCATTGAAAACCTGTAAGCACTGGACGGCCGTTTCGTCCCAGTATGGGACTCCTCGGCAGTGCGCATCCACGAACCCGCCCCCTGCGGGATTCGAACCCAGGACCTACTGGCTTCGCGCGCCAGCACTTAACCATTAGACCACTGAGCCGGCATCCAACGGTGTTAATGTCTAACTTCAACCAATCCACGAAGTTGCGCCATCGAACACCAATGTCTTCAGTGAGCTGATATCTCACAACAGACCTGGTTGAACTCCACTGGTGACAGGCTTCTCACTAGAACTCCAGGAGGTTCTCCTGAAGTCAGTCACTAGTGAGCAGTTGATTATTATCAGAATGAGTTTTGTGGAGATTTTAGTAAATTTCACAGGCTGACTCATGATTTCAACCTGTGAAATTTACTAAAATCTCCACAAAACTCATTCTGATTATAAAATATGTGTTAAAATTATTATGAATAACAAGTTTTTCAAAATCAAAATTATTAATTTGAGTCCTAGAACGCTTACGCAAACTAGAAATTCTTCGTTCATAAATGATGTGCTTATTCACGATATTGCAATTTTCAAAATTTTTAGTCACAGATTCAATTGATTTATCTGACTGGATTTTTGTGAAACCAGTTTGATACATTCAGAGATATGAACAAAGTTCAATCCAAATTGTTCAAGCAGTAAAGGAGAGTTTTAGATAGTCATTTTCACGTACAGCAATTACTGAGTATTGCATGTCCGGTTAGTTGCTGTTACATCCCACAGTTATGGTTTCACTACCTGTTACAGTTTGTTTATTGTTTTATTTGACCACCACATTCAATTCATTTTGTTTAAGAAAGATTAGATGGAAATGGGATTTTCTTAGTGTGGGGATTTTCACAGTTAAACTTATCAGTCAATCTAAGTTAAACCGCCATTGAAAACCTGTAAGCTCTGGATGGTCGTTTGGTCCCGGTATAGATCTCTTCAGCAGGCATTTCAGATTTTTAATGGTGGTTCAGCTCAGAGTGCCTCGTGAATTCAACTATGAAAGTCTGATTTGTCACTTCATTCTACTAAAAGTGCTTTTATTAAAGTTGAAATGATGAAAGAGAGATAATTGTACAAGTGCCGTTGTAGCAGAAACACCTCAAGTTACTCGTTGTCCGAAATATCATTCTTCTGTTTGATATCATGATGGCTTAGATGATCAATTAAATAGTATGAAAAATTAAAATACATTTGAGAAAAAATGAACAGTCAATACAGAACTGACCTTACTATAGGTGAATATGTCAAACATGCTTTTGATTTGTGTTGTAGTATTGACTGAATAAATGACTGGTCTTGATTTCATCGACGTATCTCTATCAAGCACACGAATCAATTCGTCCAGTATGAATAGTTCATCCTATTCATCAAAGAATGAAATCAATTTTATTGATAACATTATTATCCACAATATAATCATAAAATGGTCCAGAATTAATCAAACATTCGCAATTATTTAATGAAAGGTCAAAAATTATCCTGGTGTTTGTGAATTCTTCAAATGCCATTTGAAAATTTATTAAATTCTCCAGCTTCGTTTAAAAAAATCCATTTAAAAATTTCTGATTCACAACAACAAGTACAAGTTCTATGAAAAACATTTCTGAAATGACAAGTGACATGTGCAAAATGAAACAGAGAACTGATAATTTCCTCAAAGAAAACACTCAACTTACTACTTTCCACTCAGGATGTAGTAACTGTACTCCGATGTATTCGAAATATGTTGCGAAGCCTTCGTTCAACCACAAGTTATCCCACCATTTCATTGTCACCAAGTTTCCTAACCACTGAAAGAAATGTGTTTAAATATAAAGCTGATAGACGTAACACATTTGGATTGTTCAATCTATTTCGATATTTACATGAGGTCATATACTTATTTTGTTAAAAATGATGCTTGTACATCACAATGAAATCTTAAATTCGGTTCCTGCATCCTAGTTGTAAAGGAGTTCCGAATAGTATAGTGAAAATGAGTAACTCATGGAGTCCAACTACAACTAGTGAGAATTGATTACATGAGAGCAGTTATTGTGCTATATTTTCATTATAACCACATGTAAAATTTCGAAAGTGGTGGCTTTTCTTATTAGTAAACCGAATTCTGATAATAATGGCGTATGAGGTGATGAATGAGCATTAGAAATTTAAGAAATCACTTGGATCATTTGAATAATTATTTTACTTAACACGTCTATCAACAATGAACAGGGACTGAATTAAGATAGAAACGTGTATTACTGGAGTCTGACCTAATGAAGTAAACAAATTCAGTTTATTGAAAGTCTCGGATATCTTGTGGGTTATCATTGCTGCATTCGAAATCAACAATGAATGAGTTTTTGTCCGTTTTCTAAGTATGTCAGTTTATAATACAAACGATCTGGAAATCAAAGAGATATAAATTAAATTTGAGGTTTCGCTTTTCATTCAAGAGCATACCTGGTGAGCAAGTTCATGTGAAATAAATAAAGTCACGAGGATTTTGGATGCTATTGAACCGTTTTCTGCGTCCCATAACATCAAATTTTCATCATAAGTTATCAAACCCCAGTTTTCCATTGCCATCATTGAAGTCTTATTAATCGCAATCATATCTGGAAATAAAATGGAAAATAAGTTTGAAATGTACGCGGTTCTAATGACATATTATCACACTAATGTGCCCAACTTATAAACGGATTAATTATGGACATCCAAATTCATGACTATTTTTATTTACATTCAATCCACTTCAGTTCAAAATATAATTAGTGCCATTAAAGTAACATCAGATTTAGTTGAATGTGCATTATTCTAGATTATTTACATCCTAATGTTTGGTTGCATAGTTTGAATTTTACAGTATTTAACTACAAATATATTAAACGGAAACACATTTTGGTGAAATACCTACCCATTTTAGGAAGTGAATAGGGAATGCCAAAATAATCTTCAAAGTATCCCAATAATTTTATGCCAATATCAAGTGCATATTCAGCTGATCGAATTTTATCCGGTCTTGCCCAAACAGTGAACTAAATGAAAGAATTATTTTATCCAGAAATGGATCAGTCTTATGAAAAAATTAAATGAACTTTAGGTCATTATTGCTAACTTTGATAGAAGAGACTGTTTTCAGTGTCACGAGTGATTCAACCACTTTGATTTGATTGAAACACAGAGAACTCAGCATTGTTAAAACAATGGCTTGTACCATCAAACAATACTTGTGCTTTTGAATACTTGTATGGAACATCCTCTATTCAGGTGTTCTGTTTTAGTTTCTGTCATCACTGTGTCGTTGTAAGCGTGTTCACATAACTTCGAAACATCGAGGAACTGCCACTACTTCACAGTGAATGCTGGTATGTATGTAGCGTATATCTATGTATATCCCGAACCGTCTCGGATGATCGGTTGCTTGCAATCACATGATGGTTCTTCCTGGATATACACGATTTCGATACATTACAAAAGTATTGCATGGGAGAGTTATAAAACATCTGTTTAATTGATAACACTCACGTTTCGTCCTCTATTGTCTGTCCTCTGAATATTCGAAAACTGTGAAACTACAAATGCCAACAGATATGTGGACATTTTCACACTGGTGTTATACCTGTCGACATGCCAGTTATCGTACAACACTTCCGTACTTTCCAAATTCATGTTTGAAAGCGAATGGAAATTTTCGTCGCGTACAATATTGACCTGAAAGACACAAACGTGAGAAATTTGTTCTCGAATAATAGGTGGCATGTTTAACCAATTGAAAAAATTCAAGATTCTTATCGTGCTTATCTAGCAATATATCACATATCCACCTGGAAATCCTTAACTCATGTGGAAACTAATTTTCTAACTGAGTTGATGAATTACTCATAAGCCCATCGTGGAAGTGTTGTCTGACTGAAATGCGTTGCATCCTGAATAGACTATATCTTCACATGCACTTGGATGCTTGTTTAGGAAAGATGGTGTCGTGTTTTATTGAGTACGATCTGCGAGTGCCTGATATTCATCTGCAGTTTTTGTCGTGTACAAGCGATGAAACGAATATTAATATGCTTCCAATCAGAACTCATCAACACTGTGTACATAATCATCGTTTATAGAAAGCTTTGGGGTATGATATATATGTTAGAGGTTCTTGTAACTTTGATCTGCGCATCAATTTATTGCAAAAGGGTTATGTTTGTTATTATATAGGCTAACGTTCTGGAAGAAAATACGTCATTTTAGATTGTCACTGTTTGTACGTTGACTAGGATAATTTCAGTAGCTTCACATAAGAACACTGTACAGGAATTTTAGTACACGTGTCTTTTAACAGATATTCAGTTGCATCCCAAGGTGTGTGGTACACATTAATAAATATTGCAGCGTGTGGATAAAACGCAGTCATGAACTCATTTTTTTCAATCTAACTAATAGTGTGTTTCATAACATGACTGAAGTAGGCTTAGCTCATTATTATCGTCAAATAGGATCTCTCATATCACACACACAACTTTAAATCACTTAGTATCACTTGGTTCAATATTTTTGCGTTTTAAAAGACTGGCCCAGATTTGCAGCAGGCCACAAATCATGCAGGAAAAAATGAAAAAGAAAAAATTTTAAAAAGACGTCAAATACCTTGAATTTTGCTTTAAATTCTGGTTCATCCCAACATGGTAATATACGCCTGGCATCACTTGGTTCTAAATCAGTACTTGCCACATATCTGAAGTATATATAACGAAGAATATATGTATACAAGTACTTATCTCATTTCCGAAAGGTGGATATCTAAATGGTGCTTTAGAAGGGAATACCATGCCAAACATGTCACCTGTGGCTAACTCAAATGTTTCGCCTATTATTCTGTCATTCATAGTGTTGCTAAGTACATCTACAGAATTATATTTGCCCTGACGTGAAAATTTTTGTTTCATATTTTTTGATGACTTATGAATTTATATTTACGTTTAAACTGTTTCACAATTCTAGACACTATTTGGAATTATTCGTATGTATTATTGTTTATTGATAAACCAGTGAAAATCCGTCAGTCTTCCTATATATAGGGAAATAAATGGATCATCGAATCAATTAAGCAACTGATGTTAAAGCTAGCAGAATGAATATACAGTAGGCAGTAAGCAATGCTCAGGTATACATGTTCATACATTCGCAACGATAATAAAGGTACAATGATATAAATAATTTGTTGTTGTACAAATAACTCTGTCCGATAATAGTTTAACAAAATGGCGTAACCGAATTAAATGTGGACATACTCAATTGCACGTGTGTTGCTATATAAAAATACGATATGACGACCACCGGACACGTCGCACTTCAATACACACACATTCTGTCCCTAGAGAAGAATTTTCATTATCGAGTTAGCAATGAATAAATACATTTCTTGACAAAAACACATTCAGTCAGATGACAAACTTTACTAATGACTTATTAGTCTGTAAAATGTTCTCTGAGTAATATATTTATGTTCAGTCAGAGAAAGCCGAAATGGTTTCTTCACAAAACTGATGTACCCATAAGATGTTTGTGAATAATAATAATAATAACAGATTTGTAATGCATAAGTTTTTACATCTACTGTATACTAGGCCATTATCGTGATGTTTATCAACAAGTAAATATTGTTTGTGAGAGAGAGAATCTTAATGGCAAGCGTTTTTGGACACTAGTTCATAATGAGTCACACATATACTAAGAATTGAGACAGTTAGAAAGATATTCCACCAGACATGTGTGGCTTATTTCGTTAATGGTCGTTAATCGTCATATTTTGTCTTGAAAAATTGATCAAGTGTGTCCATTTACTAACAAAAGAATGTGGTAGATATGGTAGATAATGTCAGTAACATACAGATTAACGACGTGGACGTAGTAGTAGGATTTTCAGGTCACTACAAAATGGATACAAGTTTGGATGTAACAAGTTTACACTAAACACTAGAGAGACTCAATAAATATAAGTTCTATCTCACGATGTTCAGTATTGTGATATCAGCCAGTAAACATCACTCTTCCTCATATAACGCTCATCAACCGCTACCAAATAAACCCGCACACGTATACCTTAAATCGAGACTCACTTGTAAATCCCATTTTCCAAATATCTGCTAATATACAGTCCATCAGAATCATACTTCATATCAGAACGAAACTGTCCAAATGTCAGGTTGTAATAAGTATATGGTTGCAAAGGCGTTTTGAGTTTAATTCGATAACACTCAGAATCTTTAAAATAACTAGCGTCTTCAATTTCAATGATAGAACTTGTTTGATTTTGTTCATGAAGAAGAGACATCTGTTTTTAAAAAAGCAGAGACGAGAATTATTGTAAAGTGACAATATTTATATTTGATCAGAAAGAACATTTACATTTTGAATAAATAGTACTTAATTTCCGTTTGTTTGGAATGAAAATTTTCATTCATCATGAGGAGTTTTAAGCGTAGGGTTAGCCACTACATGCCACAGAAAACAACCTCGGTAAAATATGACTATCCAGAAAAAGGTCATTGCAACCATTCAAACTCTGGTCTCTTATTTGAGAAATCTTTACCTAGAATAGTTATGACGCCTCATAGTGAATACCGAGATTCCGCGGATGTCACGAGGACTCTTTGCCTTCCTTCAAACAGAGCAACAATTAGTAAAGGTACATAGGATGAACGAACAGTGTGGGACACCAGGAGGAATGGTGAGATAGCTACGAAAATGAGGAGATACTGCATGATGTTCCTCGAAATCGATTATACATACTGGACTCAATCTGCATAGAAATTTAAAAGTTCTATTCTTCTGAGCTAAAAATTGGCGAACTGCTACAACCAACATCAAATGAGTACACGTATCTGTGAACAATCGTCTGCACAATATTACGAATATCCGTCGACTGGGTAACATCAGTAACAGCTTACTCTAAGGGACAAGAAGGCTAGAACATTTATCTTAATTAAACTGTTGAAAATGCAGTAATGATGATATTTTCAAGTGATCAGTTTTGGACCATAACTGTAGAATCTTACCCCATTCGATAGAATCACTTGGTGGATCACTGAATAAATTTTAAATTTTTCATTCTATTAAGGCATAAATTGCTTATAAATGAAAGTGTATTTTCTTGTTTTTGATGCTGGTTGTTTTAATAAAATAACCTGTTATGTACCGACAAAAATGATGAATGGTAATTTTGGGATCCGTTTGTGGACCAATGCTATGTGTATATTTTCATCGTATAATCGCTAATTAACCAAACTATTCATATTCATGTCTCTCTTATCATAAGCTTCATTTTACTCTATAAACTGTTATTATACAATGTTCCATTCTTGAATTATACCCTGTCTATTATTCACTACTTCCCTCATTCACAGATACATCTGGCTAATTATTGTACAAATGTTGTTTCATATTTCATTGGTACATTTTGGTCTGTTGGGTTGGTATATAAACTCAGTGTGTTTGAAATATAATGATTCATATCGCAGAGGCTTGGATTGGTTTCCTAGACTTAGTTGACTGAACTAGGCAGAAAGCAGAGCCAATCCGGAATCTAGACTGCTGTTTTTGTGTCATTAGTCCGATCGGTAATTCATTGACCCCTAATTGGCGGTCACAAGATATAACAACCTTTAGTTAACATTCTATGATTAGGCAATTGTCACTTTTATTTCCTTTCATACAATTCTACTTACAAGTCGTACAAGTTGTTTTAAATGATTTAAGAAGTGTAATGATGTGATCGAGTCCTGACGAGGATAATAATATTGAAAATTAATTAAGAGTGAGTTTTTACTTAAACTTTGTTCTAGCTAAATTGAAACTCAAGAAGCACTGGGCAATGGGGCAGACAATATCACAAAAGTTCAATACGGTATTTCTTCGGGATACTGACAAACTCAACAAATTCAAGACAGCCCTCAGCAATAAGTTCCAGGCCTTTCATGATCTACTCAATGGAGAAGGAACTACTATGGAGAGCAATTGAAAGGGGATCAAAGAGGCAATCACTTCAACATTTCATGGGGTCCTGAGTCACAAGAAGCACCATCACAAGGAGTCGATCACTGTTGATACATTGGATAAGATTGAAGAAAGGAGGAACAAGAAGGCAGCGATCAATACCAGCCGAACAAGAGCAGAAAAAGCCAAGGCACAAGCTGAATACACAGAAGTAAACAAACAAGTGAAGAGGAGAATCAGAAGCGATAAACGCAAATATGTGGAAGATCTAGCGATGACGGCGGTAAAGGCTGCAAGAGAAGGAAACATGAGACAACTGTATGACATAACAAAGAAACTCTCTGGAAATCGCCGCAAACCTGAACGACCGGTGAAAAATAAGGAAGGCGAGGTAGTCACCAACATCGAAGAGCCACGAAACAGGTGGATAGAGCACTTCAAAGAACTCTTGAATCGACCAGCCCCACCAACAATTGAGGAAATCAGTATGGCCATCAGACAAATCAGGAGTGGCAAAGCAGCAGGACCAGACAACATTCCAGTAGAGGCACTAAAAGCAGACGTAGCGGCAACTGCAAGGATACTCCAAATTCTCTTCAATAAGATTTAGGATGAGGAACAAGTACCAAAAGACTGGAAAGAAGGACTTCTGATCAAAATGCCGAAGAAAGGCGATCTCAGCAAGTGTGATAACTACAGGGGCATCACTCTTCTCTCAATACCGGGAAAAGTCTTCAACAGGGTATTGTTAGACAGAATGAAGGACCCCGTAGATGCCCGACTTCGTGACCAACAGGCAGGATTCCGTATGGATAGATCGTGTACAGATCAAATCACAACTGTACGGGCCATTGTGGAACAATCAATTGAATGGAATTCATCACTCTACATTAACTTCATTGACCACGAAAAAACATTTGACAGCGTGGACAGAACAACACTATGGAAACTTCTTCGACACTACGGCGTGCCTCAGAAGATAGTCAATATCATACAGAGTTCATATGATGGATTACACTGCAAAATTGTGCATGGAGGACAGTTGACGAAGTCGTTCGAAATAAAGACCGGTGTTACGCAAAGTTACTTACTCTCAACCTTCCTCTTTCTCCTGGTGATCGACTGGATCATGAAGACGTCAACGTCTGAAGGGAAACACGGGATACAATGGACATCTAGGATGCAGTTGGACGATGTAGACTTCGCAGATGATCCGGCCCTTCTATCTCAAACGCAATAACAAATGCAGGAGTAGACGACCAGTGTAGCAGCAGCCTCGGCAGCAATAGGTCTCAATATACACAAAGGGAAAAGCAAGGTTCTCCGATACAACACAGAATGCACCAATACAATCACAATGGACGGAGAAGATTTAGAGGATGTAAAAACCTTTACATATTTGTGCTGCATCATTGATGAACACGGTGGATCTGATGCAGATGTGAAGGCACGGATCAGTAAAGCGAGAGCAGCATACCCACAACTGAAGAACATCTGGAACTCAAAACAACTGTCAACCAACATCAAAGTCAGGATTTTCAATACAAATGTCAAGATAGTTCTACTGTATGGGGCAGAAACCTGAAGAACTACAAAAGCCATCATCCAGAAAATACAGGTGTTCATTAACAGTTGTCTACGCAAAATACTTCGGATCCGTTGGCCGGACACTATTAGCAATAACCAACTGTGGGAGAGAACAAACCAGATCCCAGCGGAGGAAGAAATCAGGAAGAAGCGCTGGAAGTGGATAGGACACAAATTGAGGAAAGCACCCAACTGCGTCACAAGACAAGCCCTCACACGGAATCCTCAAGGCCAAAGGAGGAGAGAAAGACCAAAGAACACATTACGCCGGGAAATAGAAATAGACATGAAAAAAATGAACAAGAATTGGATGGAACTAGAAAAGAATGCCCAGGATCGAGTGGTTTGGAGAAAGCTGGTTGGCGGCCTATGCTCCATTAGGAGTAACAGGCTTAAGTAAGTAAGTAAGTTATTCTAGCGAAAATTCTGTGTGAATCACTGTCATATAAACCGTTATAAATGATGATGTTGAATCACATTTTGTTCAAAAACCTTTCAATAAAAGATAACATAAATGTAGGTGTATGTTTCGTTTTTATTGTAGATTCTTGAATTATATGAGTTTGCCAGTTGATTTCACCCTCATTTCAAGGAACGGATTATTTTCCAATAAACCTTAGTTTAAAAACTATAGCTTACATGGATTTGATCCAAGCTCACATTCAGATTATCGGCTGCATGTACGAAGAACTCGGTTGTCGACACATTACAGAAAACTTTTATTGTCACAGATCCATTGAAGAAAAATGCTTGTGACTTGTTATCATGCAAATGGACTTGAATTGACAAATCGTAGAGATGTGGAAACAATGTACGTGGTAATCTAAAATCCTCTGATGAATGAATTGACACATTATTGTCATCGCCGATATTTTCAGTTGCACTAGTAGTTAACATATCTAAAACAAACGTTTGAAGTAGAATGAGATTGGTGCATCAGTCCGTATTAATCAATGAGCGATCGCTGTTCACGCTGGGTTGAGAGAAAAATGAACGTTTGAAGTTTTTGTAATGAGTCGGTTTGTGGACCTGAAATATGGATTTAACTGCCTCAAGGAGCTTGTAACCTCAACTCACTGTTATGTTGTACTATACTCCGGAAGAACATTAAACCTCTTCCTCTATCATATTTACTTTCAATAAAACCAGCCATTTAACCTTTTTAAAACTTATATTGACGTATCTTGGACCAACAGGAAACTTAAAGCAATATGTGATTGATGTATTTATGGCTTATACTCTTGTTAGTCACTCACGAATTATGTGCGATTATAAAAAATGATGTGCATGACACAATTATCATTTCGTGTCTTTGGGATATTAATCACAATGATGAACATTGAATTAATATGGTGCATTTAGTATGATAATAAATCAGTAAAATCCTTTAGATTACAGTACGAAAAATTTCATTTGAAACCACACATTTTCTCAATCAACAACTGGCTTTGATTAGTTACAATCATCAGTAATAATGAGATTTGTTTTAAGGATTAGTCGGGTGAAATGCATTCAGTGAGAGTGGTATTAATATTTGAAAATTTGTCAAGCTGTAGAGTGATACCTGGAATCCTGATGTCTGAAGACAAGCTTACCTTCCAGAAATCTCTACAGTATGAGAACACACAATTAAACCTCAATTCTTAAAACCACGTATAACATCATTTTATTGCATTTTAGCAGTATATACATGGGAAAACTGGAGTGATTCAGAGTAACTTAAAGAGAAATAATTACCATGAACTTTCTGAGATACAAATCTGAAGAATATACATCTATATGAATATTTGCGAATCAACTATACTAATAATTTCATCGAATTTCAGCAACATTTCGATGTCCATTCTTGAGGACACCACATAGAAAAGAATAATGTTTCTAACTAAGCGTTGCAATGATTGTTAAATTTTATTGAAGCAATAAACAGATAAGTGTTAGACCACTACTGAAAAAATAAAGTCAGTGGACGGTGTAAGATCCAACCTACGGTTTGGATAGATGAATAGCCTTCCAGGTACGTTAGACACACACCCTTTACCGTCGAAATCAAAACAAGTAATCGGGTAAATAGCACGTGTCTAACATACCTGGAAGGCTCTTCATCTATCCAAACCGTAGTTTAGATCTTACAGTTCTAAACAAGTATTACCATCCGGCTATTCAACCAATAATTGTTCAATAAATAAAATCAGTCACAACAAATGAACGTTATCCTATCCTGGCCGGATAGAACACGCAAAAGGAGGAGCAAATCAATATGGCTACCGCCAAGTACAAGTGTCAAGTAAAACAACACAGATGCAGTTCAGGAAGAAACACAAACTTCGTGAATGCGTAAGAAAAACAAAAACTATAATAAAAAATACAGGTATTAACAATTCAAATGTAATCAAAAGACAATAGTGTACAACTAAGGGGATCAATCGGAACAAAGTGCAAATATATACAGGGAGGGATTTTCACAAACACACAAAACATTCAAAATGGATCTTACAGACGATTGTTTCTCTGTAAAATGGGATATTTCAGGATTTTACATGGACAACCCTGTCTAAGAGAATCGAACTGGAAGAATTCAATCTTGCGCGCTATCGCATAACCTGTAGACCACTAAACCTGAATCTAATGATGTTTTAAGCTCATCAAAATCGATCCACGGTATTAGAAAACCGGCTTTCATTATCTTTCGCGTGAATCTGACTAAACAGAAAAATCGGTAAATTTTTGAATCATATGGATTAGGGATTCGATCGCCGATCTGAGGTCAACGATGCTGTGACGGATTAAAGAGCACTATATATATCATAATACATGTCACACGATGATATATTTATGCAACGATAATCGTTGAGCTATTATAAAAAACAAACAAATTGATAGTAGATTTTGCTATAACACAGGTAAAAAATTTGAATAAACGTACGTCTGTAAAATGGAACATTAACAACACTCTTTGAATTTGTCAATCCTGAAGCATAATCAGCAAGTATAAATACGAGTATCAACACAATCAAAATGATAAATGATTTCCTTGTCGGTATTAAAGTTGTGTTTGTTAATGTTTTTGCATACATTGAATGGATACATTGACAGTGATGTGTGGAATGAAATTGTCTTCCATCAGAATTATCCATAACCAACATGTTCACAGAGTTCTTTTGTCTAGATAAATTTTAATCAACGACAATACTATCCATGCGTTCCATACAGTGATTGGCACAGTTTTCTTTTATAGATATCTTGCTAAAAAAGGACAAATGTGATCACAAACAAAACGTGACTGGTTGACAACGTTTGCAATTATAAACAATTTCACGCTTACAGATCGTGATCTAAAGTTTAAGAATCACATCAACAAAATGAGACTTGTCTAGTGAACTGCTGACCTTTAAACGGTGTTAAGTTACATGACATTGGTCATATGCAATTTTGAATTGATTGCTGGACTTTTATTGTTTCTTTCCAAAGCATTTGTGAATACTGGTCATTGTTATCTTAAACACCCTACATTTCTCCTTTCGGTTTATGACTGTTTTATAGCACGAGGACTATGTAGCCGACTTCTTGTTTATTCATCTTTTTCTTCGAGTTTCCATCAAGTTTCGTTACTGTGGAAATGTCAATACCAACACATATTGTAAATATTTTCGTGTGTCCAAACTGAATAAATGTGAATGTTCAGTTTGATAAATAAGTTGCATCGAACTTCCAAATCACTTTGACAAGAAACACTTGTTCTGTGTTTACGCTGATATAAATGTGGGATGATTAGTGTTTGCTGCATAGAGTTGTTCAGAGTAACATTATGAGAGTGTGACTGTTCCATTCGTTGATCACGTTTGACATAATCAGTGAGTTCATCATGCTTATTCTTCTGAGTGATGCAGGTTTAACATGTGATCGAGGCTTTTGTGAACAACATTTTGAGTAACATCTTCACTAGTGCTCAAGATATGTTTACATCTAAACAACCAGCTTAACGCCTTTTGATGCATATTTATACTCTTATTACAAATCGGATGACATATTTCGAAATCTCATTCAATGCTGAAATGATGGTGTGACGTAAACTGGACGAGACTGTGGTTTGATCGAGTGTGTTGAAATGTGGTTCACAGAGTGTTCAAATAAATTACTGCCAAACACTTGTCCAGGAGTTCCCTACTGAAACTGCTTTACCACGATTAAATGTCTAGCAATGATTTTGAGATGAATGGCAGTGTTTGCCAGGTGTTCTTAACCCATTGTTGTGTGACTTCTTCGATTGCTGAGTCAGGTGCGTCTACTGAGATATTAATGGATGCTTGAGTGTTCTGACTTGCAAGCATGGTTGATTTTGCGATGTTTTACTTAAATATCGTCCAAGTGGATCTATTTTGGATTTTCCAGTGGTCGGTCGGTTAAACTGTTCGGAAAGGATGTTGGTACGAACCGTCTACGGAAACCTACAGGGCTGTTAAATGTACTTAATTGCCTAATTGTGGTCGGTTTTGTGTAATCAAGAACGTGCAATTAAGTAGTTATCAACATACACAAGTACGTCATCTATGAACATTCCGAAGATCTGGGCAGAATTTATTAGGCCAAAAAGCATGCGCAAAGGAGTTACAATACGTTTTTTTGGAATGTCGTCAGTGGCCATAACAACCTCGTTGTAGGCTGTAACCAAATCGATTTTCGAAAAGACTGTTGCACCTTTCAAAGTAGCTGTTAAGTCGTGGGCTATTTGACAGTCGAATGATTCTTAACCCTATCATGCGATCAAATTCGTTTTTGGTCAACCTCAGCTCTTCAGCAGCCATTCCGCGCGCTTTCGAGAATACAGGTGGTTCTGTAGTCGGAATACGATATGTTACATTGTTGGTAACACACGCCAACTTTGGTATATGCCTGAATACTAATCGATTGATAGTAGATAGAATGAGGTTATGGGCTGTCTAACTTTGACAGGAGATAATCTGCAACAGGGAAAAGAAGTTACGGAATCAAATGAATTAATGTTCCCATCCACTAGACTCCGTTTGCGCCTATCGATGTGCAGATTGTGATGTTGTAGCAGGTCCATACAAATGATTGATATGGAAATATCTGCAACGACAAAAATCCATTGTGTGTGTTTGTGTAAACCCATACTTAGATACACGTACCGCTCACCATATGTGGCGGTAGGCTTTTCGATTGCCGCCTGTATGTTTAAAACCGGTTTGTGCAGCCGGTCGTTAGAATTCGCTGAAAGAACGCCAACTTTGCGCCAATGCTGATGTGGTAGCGAACGTTTGTTATTACATCTGTGACACATAACAGACCGGTATTCACAAATGCTTTGGAAAGAAACAATAAAAGTCCAGCAATCAATTCAAAATTGCATATGACCAATGTCATGTAACTTAACACCGTTTAAAGGTCAACAGTTCACTAGACAAGTCTCATTTTGTTGATGTGATTCTTAAACTTTAGATCACGATCTGTAAGCGTGAAATTGTTTATAATTGCAAACGTTGTCAACCAGTCACGTTTTGTTTGTGATCACATTTGTCCTTTTTTAGCAAGATATCTATAAAAGAAAACTGTGCCAATCACTGTATGGAACGCATGGATAGTATTGTCGTTGATTAAAATTTATCTAGACAAAAGAACTCTGTGAACATGTTGGTTATGGATAATTCTGATGGAAGACAATTTCATTCCACACATCACTGTCAATGTATCCATTCAATGTATGCAAAAACATTAACAAACACAACTTTAATACCAACAAGGAAATCAGTTATCCTTTTTATTGTGTTGATGTTCGCAGGTTTTCTGCCAATGATTTTTTTGATGGTATCCGATGGCATTTAGACAACTGCATTCTTTTTTATAAATGAATAACCCTTTTACCATCCGAATGAAGTACCGAATCGACGAAGTCGAAATTACGGATACAGGTTGTTAGGATTTTATTGGACAATAAAGACTGGGATAGAGAAACAAAACATTCGTTGTCGAACAAAATTTCGGCGTAAGCGGATATAGATAGCTACATGGATCTCTCAAGATAACACCATGGAGAACCATATCACCGATCAAGTGATCACTGAATGACGTGAGAACCAAGAGATGAGCCGACGTATCTTCAGATTTATACCTGATGTTTTCAAAGGTGAAACTGAAGCGAATAGAGCACTGATCAACCAAGCGAAAACATTGCAAAGATTAAATACAGCCCTCCTTCTACAGTTACTTTAAGCAATCAGGATATTTTGAGTGACAAGATTCACAATTCATTAAATGAAAAGCAAGTGGACATGAATTAATGTAAGGTGGACAAAAACAGAGAGGGATAAGACACAAGCTGAAAACATACAATCAGACAAGCTAGTGAAAAAAGCAGAAATATGTGGAAGAGAAAGAGAGAGGAACTACAGAATACAGTGAACAGCTTGTAATCACTTGGAATATTTGGACTTCACTGATGACCTGACCCTTCTAACACATACACATTAATAAATTTAGATAAAAACAACCAGTGAAGCTGCAGTCTCTACAACAGTAGGCCTTAGCATACACAAGGGAAAATGTGAGTTTCTCAAATACAACACCGAGAACACCAACTCAGTCACACTTGAAGGGCGTGGAAAACTTCAAGCACCCGGATGGCATCATCAATAAACAAGGAGGATCCGACTTAGATGTTAAGGCAACGCCCGGCAACGCAAAGGCAGCCTTCCTACATTTAAAGAAGACATGCAATTGAACACGTCTGTCTGCAGTCTAACATCCATCTTCAGAATAAACGTCAAGAATGTTCTACCATACGGAGATGAAATTTGAAGAACCACAGAAACAATTGTCAAAAACGTACGCGTATATATTAACAAATATCTGCACAATATAACGAGTATCCCTTGACGGAACAACATCAGAAACAGCCTACTGTGGGAGACAACAAGACAGCTTCCAAATTAGGAGGAAATTAGAAAAAGACATTGTAGATCTATATCATATATCTTGTGGAAATGATCAAACTGCATCACGGGGCAAGCGCGAACTAGGATCCTCAATCGAAACAAAAAGAGACGAAGATGAGAACATCAACAGGATAAACAGGAATTAGAGAGAACTGCAAATGATTGTCCATGACAAGGTTGGATAGAGAATACTTGTGGTCGGTCTATGCTCCTTCACGACGTGGGCTAACGGGCATAAGGAAGTAAGTGAGAGTGACCTTCTAGACCCTTGTAATTTTCACAGTTACTTCATTGTATGAGTGATAAACTATACGTAAATTGACCACTTTGCGAAATCCAAAGTGACGCCAAGTTGTTTATAATCATCAATAAGTTCACGAACTTTTCCGTAAAACTGAGCGACTGAAAGCAGTAGTTTAACCCATTTGTTTTCTTTACAAGATCATTAAAGAAATCAACAGATATAAAACAAGAACTTAGAAATCCGTAATTTCGACGTTGTTTGAACTTAAACATAGTATTCAGAACAGGAACCTGCCATTGCTTGATCAATTACTGTATACACTGATAATTCGCAAAACAGACTGATATACTGGATTCTGTACTGCCATTTTTATTGAACCTTCTAACTTAGTTACATTGACGGATTATATTTTCAACTGCTTTTCATAGAGACAACTGATATTCAGTATATTTACATTTCTGTTTGTGCTGACCTAACTATGGTCTCTGATGAATTAGGTTTTTCTCAATGGGTTCGTTTTTCTTATTTGTTCACAGCTTAAAACTAGTCTTATCAAGACAAGGCAGACTGAATGTTAAATTTCATTTTATCTGCTACTTTCAGTCAGTTGAATAATGGTCGTGCTGACTAGAATATGTATCCATTGGAATAAATAACGTGAATTGTTGTCCATGTAAATGTTAAATGTCTATTTATGATTTTACAGAAAATCTTATAATTAAGAAGAGCTGTCACGTGGTAGACATCTAGGTCTGATAACTATATCTGTGTTTGTGGTATAAATAAACACTAAAAGAATGATCTGTGTAGGTCCATTATTCAGTATACAAAATCAGCTTATTTAGCATTCTTCAGCGCGATCATTCCAGGTAAAACGTTTCATCAATTTTAAATGGAAAATGTCAAACGGCGACTTGATAAAGAACACACTGACTTAAACATAGTTTTTGTAGTTGATTCTGAAAACAAATGAGATTAGAATCTGAATATGATGTCAATCAACTGTTCAGTTTAAACCACTCAAGTAAAGTAGAATCTCTGTAATCACGGTTTAGACTTTA